ATAATGCTAAAGGTAAAATATTCGGCATTGGAAACATTGGTAACCACTCATCCCCCTCTATCGAAAATGTTTTACTCGTTGATTATCTTAAACATAATTTATTAAGTATTAGTCAATTATGTGACAAAGGTTATAACATAAAATTCGATTTTTCCAAATGCCTTATTAAGCATGCTATATCGAAAGAGGTGATTTTTATAGGAAGATGAAGTAAAAATGTTTATATTATAAACATTGAATTGGAAAATAATGAAAAATGTTTACTTAGCTTGAAAAAAGAATCATGGTTATGGCATAGAAGACTTGGACATGTAAATATGGATCTTCTTTCAAAAATTTCAAAAAATTATTTTGTAAAAAGTTTACTGAATTTGAAATTTGAAAAAGATAAAATTTGTGATGCTTGTCAATTTGGAAAACAAGTAAAAAGTTCTTCCAAACCAAAACTCTATACTTCAACCACAAAACCATTACAACTTCTCCATATGAATCTTTTTGGACCTTCTAGGACGGCTAGCTTAGGAGATAAACATTATGCTTTTGTTATTGTCGATGATTTTTCAAGATTTACTTGGGTTATATTTTTAAGCTTAAAAGAAGAAGTTTTGAAAAATTTTAAACACTTTTGTAAGAAAGTTGAAAATGAAAAAGGTTATTCTATTTCAATTATTAGAAGTGACCATGGTGGAGAATTTGATAATGTTGAGTTTAATGATTTTTGTAAAGAGCATGGATATGAACATAATTTTTCGGCCCCTAGAACAACTCAACAAAATGGTGTAGTAGAAAGGAAGAATCGTACATTGCGAGAAATGGCTCGAACTAGGTTAAATGAAAATAACTTGCGTAAATATTTTTGGGCTGAAGCCTTAAATACCGCTTGCTATATTATCAATAGAGTATTAGTAAGCAAAAGGAAAACTAAAACTTCTTACGAACTTTGGAAAAATAGAATTCCAAATATTAGTTATTTCAAAGTTTTTGGATGTAAATGTTTTATTTTAAATACAAAAGACAATTTAGGGAAATTTGACTCGAAATCCGATATTGGATTTTCCTAGGATATTCATCGACTACCAAAGCATATAGAGTTTTTAACAAACAAACTCTAGTCGTTGAAGAATCCATGCATGTTACTTTTGATGAAACTAACTCAATTGATCGAAAGAAAGGTAGCGATGACGCTGTAGGTTTGGAAGCTCCTTTCGAACAAATGAAAATTCAAGATCAAAATAAGGAGGTACCAAATGGAGACATAGAAAAGTCAAATGCTCAAGAAAATGAAGAAAGATAAACTAGAGAACAAAGTGATCCCTCGTTATCAAAAGAATGGAGGTTTGTTCCATCTCATCCCAAAGAGCTAATAATTGGCGATCCATCAAAAGGTATCACTATTAGAACCACTTACAAAAATCATTTTAGTAGTTGTGCATTTATTTCTCAAATCGAACCTAAGAATTTAAAAGAAGCCGAATTTGATGAGTTTTGGATTCTAGTGATGCAAGAAGAATTAAATTAATTTGAAAGAAACCATGTTTGGGACTTAGTCGCTAGACCAAACAATCAAACCGTTATTGAAACAAAATGGGTTTTTAGAAATAAAAGAGATGAAAATGGAATAATTGTGTGTAACAAGGCTAGATTAGTGGCCCAAGGCTACAATCAAAAAGAAGGTATCGATTTTGAAGAAACATTTGGACCCGTAGCAAGATTAGAATCCATCTGTATGCTTCTTGCATTTGCATGTTACAAAGATTTTACACTTTATCAAATGGATGTTAAAAGTACTTTTTTAAATGGTTTCATTCAAGAAGAAGTTTTTGTTGAACAACCTCTCGATTTTAAAAATCACAAGTATCCGGATCATGTATTTAAACTTCAAAAAGCTCTTTACGGTTTGAAACAAGCTCCTAGAGCTTGGTACGAATGGTTGAGCAAATTTCTTCTCTCAAATAGTTTTCCGATTGGGAAAGTGGATACTACACTTTTTATAAAAACTCATAAAGATAGATATGCTCATTTTTCAAATTTATGTTGACGATATTATTTTTGGTGCTACAAATATACATTTTTGTGAAGAATTTTCAAAATGCATGAGTAAAGAATTTGAAATGAGCATGATGGGTGAGTTAAAAAATTTTCTTGGCCTTCAAATTAAACAAATGAAAGAAGGATTTTTCATAAATCAAAATAAATACATGTTAGACATGCTTAAAAAATTTGACATGCATGACATTAAGCCTATGAACACACCAATGAGCACATCTCTAAAGCTTGATAAGGATGAGCAAGGTACTTCTATGGACGTCACAAAGTATCGAGGTATGATCGGATCCTTTCTTTATTTAACTGCTAGTAGACCCGATATTATGTTTAGTGTTTGCCTATGTGCTCGATTTCAATCTAATCCTAAGGAATCTCACTTAAAGGCCGTAAAAAGAATTTTTCGTTATCTAAGTGGTACGAGTACTTTAGGACTTTGGTATCCAAAAGGCACTTTTATTGACATAATCAATTATTCGGATGCCGATTGGGTCGGATGTAATGTTGATCGTAAAAGCACAAGTGAAAATTGTCACTTTCTAGGCTTTGCACTTGTGTCTTGGTCTAGTAAAAAACAAAATTTCGTTGCACTATCCACCGCCGAGGCGGAATATAACTCGGCCGCTAGTTGTTGTGCACAAATACTTTGGATGAAACAAACTCTATATGATTATCATTTGTCTTACGTTCATATGCCTATTTTATGTGATAATACCAGTGCCATAAATTTATCTAAAAATCCCGTCTTGCATTCACGAACTAAACACATTGAGATTCGACATCATTTTCTTCATGATCATGCACAAAAAGGAGATATTATATTAGAATTTATAAAAATCGATGATCAGTTGGCCGATATTTTTACCAAACCACTAGCATCTGAACGTTTTTCAATTATTCGGAGAGGATTGAGGATTATTGATGAAAATGAAGTGAACTTAATTTAAGTTTTTTTCACTGAAGTTTTTTTTTAATTTATTATTTATTTAAAAAAAATTATCCGGACAAACAAAAGCTGTCCGGACTATACTGTCCGAATTGGCAGAACATTATAGTTCACTGTCATCCGGACGTCCGGACTTAATCCAAACGTCCGGACCGTCGGTCCAGTTTCTTTTAAAACACGAATTCATCCCTTTTTTTTCTTCCATTTCTTCTTCTTCCTCGCCAAATCCTCTCTGGAAATTCACACAACAGCTTTTTTTTTGGTTGAATCTTGTTCATTCCACCTATTAATCAAAAAACCCGAAAGATTAATACCATTTTTCACCCAAAAATCGAAAATATCTCCTCCAAAATTGGCCTTGAATCTCAGCTCGAATCCCTCTTCAATCTTCGAAATTTTCGTGCAAATCCCACATAATAGCTCAAGCATTTCATACACCATTACTCTCCTCATCTAGTAGCTTGAGTTTTCATAGAAAATCACCACTTTTGAGCCATGCCCTAGAAATCAACCGATTAGGATTTTTTTGTTTTTGAAAATTTTGGAAATCTCACCCATTTTTTCAAATTATCTACTATGTTGGGTTCTAGGCGTGGAAAATGTGGAAGAAACTGCAACGACCCCCTTCACCATCGGATGAGGAGATGGATTTGGAGTCGGAGGAGCCACCAAACCCTTTTGAAAAATTGCCCATTTTAATCGGTAAAAATGTTGATTTTATAGATTTTACGATAGAAGCTCCCGCTTTTTATATTGAAGAATGTTTTGAATGCATGGGATGGATAATTGTGACCACGATGGAAGGACACGCTTATCCATGCCTTATGAAAGAATTCTATCAAAAATTAAATTTTTCGACACGTTCAAACGACATCACTTGATTTGTTAAAAATGTTCGTTTTACAATTTCAAAAGCATTAATTCGTCAACTAAATAATCTCGAGCCTTGTGACTTAAAAGTGTTTTTACATAAGTCTCCACCAACCATAGAAGGATACGATCCTTTTGAGGCATGTCGTCGAGTTACGAGAAAAGACTTATAGAACATCACAAGAATTAGTGCACATCAATTAACACTTCCATGCAAGGTTTTGCAAAATATAATTGCTCACATTATTTTTCCCCGCAAAGGTCATCGAGACGAACTCAATCACTTCGATCTCCTTATTTTGGATTCTCTACTAGTCAGGCGTAAAATTGATTTTCCTACTATTGCACTTGGTCTTATGAAGCTTGTGCATGCATCACGACACACCAAAGCTCTACCTTACGGGATGCTTCTCACAAAAATCTTTAAGCATTTTAATGTTTCATTGGACGGTGAAGATTTTATAAAATTACGCCCTATCGATACTATTTACATTCAGACCTTAAAACGAATGAAGATAGTAAAGGAACATGGGCAATGGGTGGCTCATACGAAAGGGTTCGATCCTACCTCTGGTCCATCCACTCTCCTATTTGAAGATGAAGCTGAATCAGACGAAGAAGTACCTGAAGTTCCTGCCCCCGCATCTGACATTCTAGGCTCGAGTGTGCCTCCTCCTTCCCGAGAGTGTTCCACCTTTACCGAGGAGCACTATAATCTTTTCCATGGGTGGATTGATTCTCTTACCTCATTGGTTGACGGCATGGGTAGCCTACTTTTCCAGATGCAGGCTCAGCAGATATCTATCCAAGACCGACAGTTTGAGATGCAGCACCAGCAGCTTGAGATACAGCAACGATAGGCTGAGATGCAGGCTCAGCAGACTGCATTTTTCACTGAATTTTATGCTAGATTTCCTCCTCCGGCCCCTTAGTTTACTTTCTTGCAATTATTATTATGTTAATTGTTATCTATTGCTCCTTTATGTTTTAAATGTATGACTTCCTATATGGTAATATTTTTCTTCATGCTACTTGCTCTATTATTTCTTTTTGCTTATACCAAAAAGGAGAAGATGAGGAGACGATTATTCAACATAGGAACAACATAGTAAGGGGGAATGTTATTAAATGTTATATTCATGTTGATAGGGGGAATATTACTTGCAATATACAAAATTATGCTCCTAATTATTTGATGTCGATTCAATTTGTTCAATATTTATTTTGCAAAAATCATCTCGTTTGTCATAATCAAAAGGGGGGAAATTGTTGACCTAATGGTTGACTTCTTGTTTTGATTATTACAAACAAATTGTGTTTGATTCTAACAAATTGAATATAAGTGATTGATAGTGATTATTGCAAATTTATGACACAAAAGATCTAGATCGGGAATCATGCAACCTTGGCGCAAAACGATATACACACAAGCTAGATTGAAGATTTATGAACAAGGATAATGGAAATCGAGCTTTCACGCACCAAATTGCATTGGATGAAGAAATTGAAGACATTAGCTATAAAT